CCCCAAAACCCCAAAACCCCAAAACCCCAGAAGAAGCTGACAGCATTGAAGAGCAACAATTAGCTAAAATATCCTTTAAACTAAAAAGATATCAACTTTCATGCCAAGATCCTTAAGATCTACACCTTCTCACCATTATCATAATATTCAGTTACTCTTTCTCCATCTTTAAGTATAACAGTGAACTCTCCATGCGGTTCCCCATCCTTCCATTGTCCTTCATATCTCTCCCCAGTGTTCGGATTAATAAAGACTACATAACCATTCTCCTTACCATTTTCATAGTGTCCTTGATAAGTGCTTCCATCCTTATGAGTGTATACTCCCTCTCCATGTCTTAAACCATTCTGTAATTGACCAACATACTTATCTCCACTGGAATAACATTCAACACCCTGTCCATGTCTCTTGTCATCTTTCCACTCTCCTTCATAGGAGTACCCATCTGGTTCTTTGTAGACTCCTTGTCCATTCCTACTATCATTTGCCCATTCTCCTTGGTAAGTGCGTCCGTTCTTCCACTTGTATAATCCAGTACCATGTTTCTCCCCATTTACCCACTCTCCTTCGTACATATTTCCACTCTCATAATACTTAATCCCTTGACCTTCTGGGATCCCATTTTTCCACTGTCCAATGTACTTTCTCCCATTCTTCCACAGATAAGTCCCTTGTCCATGTCTCTCTTTAGTGTGAGCGTTGACTTGTCCTTTGTAGGAGCCTCCTTTGGAGTAAGTTTCTTCTTTATATACTAAGGTGACTCCTTCCGAATCTTGTTCACCTTTAGTCTCTTCTTCCAGACTTGCCTTTTCTTGTTCAGGAACTTCAGGAATCTTGTCTTCCTCCATCTTAGTCTTCTCTAAAGCAGAAGTATCTCCTGAAGCAGATGCTTTTACATTCGAGCTTTCTTGTTGGTCTTCAGCGTTTGATTCAGTTTGGATATGATCTTGGCCCTTGTCTAAATTCTGGTTAGACTCCATGGCCTCTTGGCTAAATGCATCTAATCTTCAATCCTGTTGTTGATCATTTTCTTCAGGAGCTTCCAATTCCTTTTCTTTTACGAGACTATTAATAATTTCTTCCTTGATATCTTCATTTTCTGTATCTTCCTTAGTCTCTTCTTTAGGAGCAGCCGTGTCTTTCTCTTGCTCTTGAAGATCTTCAGATGTTTGATTTTGCTCATTGCATAATTTATCATAAGCTTCTTTGAGATCCTTATATTTGTCTTGCTCTTCTTTTAGTTGAGACTGAAGAAGAGATACTTCCTTTTGATGCTCCTCTTCAGCCTTGTCCTTCTCCTCCTGGAGTTCCTTAAACTTATTTGATAGGACATAAAGCTTCTCTTTGATGTACTTGACAATAATCAAAGTGTCCTGATTACCATTTTCAGCTTCGTTTGGATCTTCAATCAATAAAGCTCTATTGGTCTCAAAATCTTTATAAAGTTCATTATTCTCAAGCGATGTCAAGATACAATCAGCTTCTAGTAAAAAGCAACTTAATTCTTGGTTTGTTTGGTCCTGATTAGCTTTTGCCAAGTCAGACTGAACCTTATTTACTTGAGCTTTAATCTCGTTGCTTAGGGCAAGGTGGTCTTCAGGTATCTCGTCATTATGAATCCTCTTTGAAAACTCCAAGAAGCCTTCAATACAAATTAAAATTGTCTTCAGTTTGTTATCAATTTCATCATAGTCGTCAAGACTAGTATCTTCATCATCACAAAGCTCATTTATCTTATTTTCTTCATCTTCAGAAGAATCATCTTTCCCTTCTTCAACATCAAGGCTTAATTTCCTCCCACATTCCAAAGAGTGTCCAATCAGTAGTTCCATATTTATACCTATTAATTATTCTCAATGTCTCTCGGAAGAGCTGGGGTTTTGGGGTTTTGGGGTTTTGGGG